GCCCCGTCCTGGCCCATGTTGCTCCCTCGCCCATTGGGTCCTGGCATCTGTAGCCCACAGCCACCTGCACCCCCCCCCGAGATCCCACAACCCCCCCAAGAGGGAGAAACACAAACCAAGCAGCCCCCCCCGATGGCGAATAGATCCAATCTCTCACTCGAATTCAGCTGCCAGCTTTACCACAAACAGAATAACCCAGACCCTGCCGCACACTAACTCCTGCTTCCGAGAGCCAGGTCTCCGCCTACCCCCGCTGGAAGCACCAGCCTTTTTCAAATCCCTAGAATTGCGGCACAAGTTCATGACCCGCTGTGGCCCCGCGGACCTGCCGCGCGCCGCCCAAGCCACCGGCCCCACGATGTTGCCTTACAAGGCGCAGACTTTAAGGGCTGCTCGAAGGAAGTTGCTCAAAAAGCCGAGGATTTTTTAAACCGCTCGAGCGCTATTTTTAGAACCGTGGAGCACCCTCCCTTCCTCCCCCCCTTTTCCCCTGGGCAAGTTATTTTTGTGGCAGGATTATTGCTTTTTGCAAAAACATTTTAATGACAGCCAGCTGCTGCAGCAGTGACGCCACAGCACAGCTCGCCCCGCGGGTGAGCCTCTGAGGCTGGTGCCCGAGTCGCACCGGAGAGAGGGAGCCGCGCACACCGCACGGTTCCCAATTTCGGCCCCAGGCTGTTCTTGGAAAGCCGAAGAGGGGGAGGCGACGTTTTCCTGCGCATTGCCACAGCCTGGAGCTTCCCCGCCCACAGAAACACATTTGACCCACTTCTGCGGTGGCGGCAGTGGGTCCTGCCGGGCTGCACGTGCAGGCAGCACCGTGCAGAAAGCGGCGCTGCAGGGCTGCGGAGAGACCGCGGGCCGAGCTGGAGGAGGCAGATCGGGCTAAGGCACAAGGCAGGGGGTGTGAGGGAGCCACATGGAGCTAGGCTGTGGGGCTGCGGCAGGGGGAATGGGGCGGGGGCGGGTTTTCCACTCAATGCTCTTTCCCATTGCTCGAGGCCCAAGACTCCAGAGGCTGAATCCCCGGAGCTAAGGGGCGGGAGGAGCTGGACAGAACTGCTT